CGAAAACATTGAGCTCTAATAAACGACCCAGGAACAGAATCAACATGTCGGTCTCGGGCTCCGGCCTTTGGCCGATGTCCGTTAGATGTCGGCGGGAGATAGAGTTGACATCAAATAAACTTGTTCAAATCGAATAACCACCAGACTAGTAGCGAAACACCATTAGGTTTAAAAACCCTGGTGAAAATTTGGCAGAATATGCACGCTGGTTGTTTTATATGGCAGTGTAATCTCAGCCATTGTTGTCCAGCGGCAATTTCCATTATGCTCGATCTCTAGATTCCACTGATATCATAAGAACATAACAGAGTAGGACCTAGGGAATCTAGGCACACCTTAAGTCAAGCCAAAGGTCAGCTTCAATTTGTTACGGATAACGATCATGGCCATTAGTTGGCCATTGCGAACTTTCTATAAGCGAACAGCCGAGTTGACCTTTGACGCTGCCGACTTCTTTTTTAGTTAGAGGATAGAAATGCAGAAGCGATTGTTACAGCGGCGACCAGTTCATGATGTTGCTTCCGGTAGCGGTACCGCTTAAAACATGTTATCAGCACAACACGTTATGCAACGGACTACCCTAGATACGATACTTCTCAGAATAGTGCAATCAAGACTAGTATGAAAACAAATTAACTCATTCGATAACCGGGGTTTTGGGCGCCTTTTCATGCTGTTTGACATTTTGATGGAGAACATTAAAGAACGAGAGAAAGCGACGAGTTTTAGTAGCAGTCTCACTATGATCCGCTGCATGACGTTCCGGACCAATCTTTTCTTTGTTTAATAGTTGGCAACTAGATTGCTAATGAGAGTTACATCACTGGACGACTCCCGTGTAGCTGGGTCAGGCTGCTATGTATTCTACAATACGTGCAAGCTATATAAGTGAACGGTCTCGTATTGCCATACACAATCCGGTCTCACAAGGGTCTTATTGTACTCTTGCTCTTCGTCGCTTTCCTTTCGTACGACCACTAATGCCAGTCCTGTTAACCAGCCTTGAGTCATTTAACGACAAAGATTAAGAACCCGGAGCCAGTACGGCCTCGGTACAAAGGAGTAGTCGAACGCGCATTTAGCAGGGTACAAGCGTTCAGTTACATGTCTAGCGCTCAATCTAACCTACAGTAGTTGGCAACACGCACGGTCAGCAGCCGGATGCGATGCCCGTCGATGCTGTGTATCGAGTAGAAAGACCAAATATCTTTTAAACGATTCATCATTATATAAATATAGGCCCGGAGCAAAACTTTTTACCCTTCATCTAGACCCCCTACACTTTAGTGGGATTCGCAGAAAGGCGTACTTTTCCGAAGCCGCCGCTTTGCGTCGAATGATTTTCATCAATGCTTCATTCCAACAGAGAACTGTATATATAGATATTGCATTCTGGTCTTGATAGGCTTGCCATCCTTGACCGATACGATTCTATCAACCCCTCGAACTTAACGTCAAAATTAGATCGACCATAGTAGACATCGCCCAGACCTTAACTATGCTAACTTTTGCCACAGATTGTCACTCCTTCTTATGGCAGCCGTAACCAAAATTTCTCCTACTGATATCATAATCTTCAATATTTACATCTGGTGGTCAAAACAAGCACGAACCGACGGGCGCTGGCGAGACAGCTTGCAGTAACATGGCCGTGTTGTAACGGTCCAACTTTGCAGTGGCCAGATAAAGCGAACGAACAGATTTTAGGTGAATAAGAGGAATTGTTGGGAAGCGATCATTGTCAGCACATACTTGGCGAAACCCCCATAACATGTAGATTCTAGCTGAAAAGTGGCTTCCACATACTCATACGCGCTGAATACCTAGAGCAAAGGCAGGCTAATCCCTGTCTAATTTTTTCTAGTTCTCTAGTAGATCAATCTGGTTAACTGCGCGCGTAAAAACGCGTTAAGTTGATTTCAACCGATATTTTCCACCGTCTGAGCCAAGCGAAAAAATCGCTTTATTTTGTCTGCAACAGTCCACAAATATATCATATAGCAATAATAACCTGAAAGAAAGACCCATTCTGGGTTGCTATTTTTACAATATACACGAACACAAATGTACAGACGTGTGAGCGGCCCTGTTTTTTGCTCAAGGGAATCACCTATTGGATTAACAAATCGATCCGTTTGTTGGTCATCGTTTCGGTTTCGAGGGCCGTTTTTTAACAGGGCGCAGGTGTCGCCTATGAATTTGGCCGGATACGCAGATATTCCCCGTTGGGCACATAGGGTTAATGGACCCGCTGATCTGTGCGCTCCGGCTGCTGTAACTACATCCCGCGCACATTTTATATCCGAATTTAGTCAGTTAATCGTTTTTCGAGCCCATCTCAGCCTTTATCTCGAGCCGTCCTAGCTAGCGCCGTGCTCCATCGAGCACAGGACTAGTTCGCTCATATGCTAGAGTATAAGCACATGCACAGGTTTTTGTCTTCCCGCCGTACGTGTGTTTCGTTTTGATGGAAATCCGCAAACCAGATGAATGGCCAGATCGTGTATCGCACATCAGAAATGGTTATAGCCCCGGGGCTTTGTGCGCGTAACCGGCATCATCGTCACCGCGTCAATAATCATCAGCAGCTCAATCACGAACCGTTCGCATCGACAACGACAGTTCGTCCAGTTCAGACTAGCGCTTTTTACTACATTACACGTTATGGCCGTATGGACTAGAAGTAAACGAAATAAAGTTCCTACCGCCTATAGCATGGGTGGGTGCAATGATGCGTGAACAACTTTGACAGCGCCACCGTTTATATTACGACTCTATCTATATTAGAAAAGCGAAGGAGATACGGAGCTATAGCCATTAACTACATGTTGCCGCCTTCATATCCGTTGCTCTCTTTTGTATCAGCGAGTCAACGCTGTTGTCAGTCGACGGTCGCGTAGAGGTTAGCTAAGAAAAGCATTACAGAAATACAAATAATAGCAATATTTGTAATATTTGGTAATAGACAGGGGTGTGAGGCGGCAACGGGCAAACCTAAGGCTAGGTATTGTGAAGTTCCGTTCGAAGGTATAGGTTCGATATTGCGAGTTGGCGAAGTGCGGGACGAGCATTCATGTAGCAATAGTATCTATCAAAGATGTCATGACGTTTCGTTATAGATATATAAGCTAGAATAATGTCAGAAGCGATAGCGGCAACATGCACTGTGTTACCGCTGGTATTGTGGGGTGCTGAGATAGTATAAGGCTAAATTGCGGTATAATAATTTTGAAATATCAGTAGTATATGATACGATCAGGCAACATTCATGTACATGCTGCTCTGAACGGTAAAACTGTGATTTTTAACAGAAAAAAACGTATTGACTTGTTGCCATCTGTGATACGAACGACTAGCTCTTTGCGAACATCAGATCATTCATGGGTTTTTAGGTTTTCGTCACTGAAAAGTGGCAATGTTTACTGTGTCTAACCATTAATGAAATCGCAGGCTTGATGTGCTGTCAATGCAAATCACTACCATTTGATAGACAAGCGAGATGCAAGAAATACTTATCGAACATATCTGCTATAACCCACAGTGAGCTGACTCACACAACAGTTGCCATCATGGCGGTGGCTTGCGTTTTTCAACGTAACGTAAAAAATTCTTTTTTTTTTTTTTGCAATAACACTCTTGTTCCTTTACCTTTATTTCTTTTGATGTGAGGTACCGCTGAGCCTGTGATTCACCTAAACATATAACAACATACTGGGACTGTGACTGGGATTGTGAAGCCCACTTTCTTTCGATTTCGGCCGATGTCATTTTTTATGGGTCCGTTTTAAATAACGTACACCGGGTTAGTGTGCACGTCTTTGTCGCGAGGATACTGCTGTCCAATTGATTATTTCGCTGAAGTTCGTAAAAGCTTCGCTGATCGCCTAGCCGTTCTAACAACCCGTTGCCGGATCTGTTTGTTGATGCTTGCGACCGCCATATTCCGGGCATTCAGAGGGTTTCAGAACGTCCAGAAAAAAACGACAGCGACCGTCATACGGCCAATCCAATTTCGATTCTGTACCTATTGTTCTGCCCTGGCGTCCGTTGCTGCTGCTGGTTCGCACCTTTTTCTATCGCGCACTACGTGCACGTCCAACGGATCTTCATGCTACTACAGTATAGATTGCATAGTGGAAACAGTTCGAGCAGAAATCAGAAAAGACTGAGAGGAATAGGCAGACAGGTGGACAGATCGACAGACTCATAAAAAAAACGTGTGAAGATCGAAGCCCGACACGGTGTCGTAACAACGGAAGCAGAATCAGACACGACCGCTAATGTACAAAGCGTACAGACGCAGCAACACGAATCGGGCAACACCGCCGTGGCGTCAAGGCGTTAAGCGCACTTCGGCGATTTTGACTTTACGCAGTAGCGCATTTGTCACCCCGTACATCTCGTGCGTATAGACGTACCCGCTTGTTATTCTAGTGCAGAGTTCAAAGACGGATTTGACCCGTAGTTCTTCTGTCGGAGCCCTCTGCTTAGTCGACAGTCGAAGGCACGCAGGGAGACATGAGACAGGGACTATTCTATAATCGTCTGAGTACACCTCCCTCTGTTGTTCGATTGTGAATCGTAAGAAATCGTACGAAATCTTCGTACACAATCCCGTGCCACAATCCTCTGCAAGTCATTGTGAACAGAGATATTTGTACCTCATGGGATTTAGGAGTTTTTTGTGCTGGCCCGTATGAACGGTTTCATATGCGACCGACTTGGTTGGATACGAGCGGCGGCGATGCAAAACTGAGAAACGCCGCCGATCCCATTAATCAGCTAGGAAGAAGCGACGGCGAAGAGTCTGAGCGGCAAAATCAAGCCGGATCCGGTGACCGGGCAATCAGCGACGCGAGCCCATCTTCGCCTCGTCTGAGGGCGGATATAGACTTGTTTAAGCAAGACAATAAACGTGACAGTGTCTTCATGGGCGGCGAAGGTGCAGTCAGTAGGCAATGGACGGTATCAGTGGTGAAACGGGCGTCACAAGTTGCACGTCCGTACTGCTGCCACGCGTGCTAATTTGTGCATCATCCATACGCATGTCGTACTGTGCCTCTCTGGCACAGTTAGTAAATGGAGGAAACGAACTCATTTTCCAGAGTCGGTTGGCAGGCGATGCGGCCGCGGTGGCGGCAGCAGCAAATGTTTTGTTGTTAAACTCTTCTTTTAGCATTTAAATCGATCCCGGTTGGCCCGAAATAAGACTGGTTTTCTATTGGGCGGATAAATCTAGTTTTTAAAAATGGATAATGCGGAGTCAGTTCTATGTGAGAAATTTTCGATACTTGATTTTTACATTACAGTACGTGTTCTTGCGAACTTAAACAAATGTGCTTTAAGTTGCTTTCAGCTATGAAAGGATTAGGATCAGAAGGAACCAATCTGATACTCGCTAATTGATTTCGAATACATTAGTTGCTTGCTTTATCCATGCTCTTCAGAACGGAGTCTTCCATTTTTTTTTTTTGGTTGGCTATACAAAACGATATTTATCTTCATAAGGCCTTATTTGCTATTCCGAAACAATGTTCGGTCACTTCATATGAGCGACGCACAAACATCTATAGGAATATCGCCTCTGCACTGCAATCTGTCATACCCCCCATGTTCTTTCTCGTCTAATCAGTACATCATTATGACGGACTTATGCGTCAACTGCCAACCTCAATATACAAAGGAGAGCCACAATCCAATGTAATGCCTAAATAGCTACAGACGCTGAAAAAATCAAACGAAAATCCATATCGGTGCGACTAAACATGTGCACGAAACAGCGTGTGGTATTATATAGAAAGGCAAATCTTCCGGCGCATTATGCGGTCTTCCTGTATCTTTGTTAATTGCTTACCAAGTACGCTCCCGACTTTAACCAGAGAATAACTAAATTAGTATAAGGCTGTGAGCCTGCAGATCTTATTTCGTATGAACTAGAAAAGGTTCTACATACATATATAATTTTTTTTGCTATAAAATGTCTGAATTTGATTGATAAACGATTTGGTGATTCCAACTGCCCATGTGGCGGCGATCATTGGCCCGATGCCCGGGCACAGTTGTTTTATGTTTCTATCTCCGCAAACGTAAAACCGAGTGGGCTATTTCGTTCTAGGCGCAGCGAGCGTTTCTCTACGCGATGATCGTTTTGGCCATTATATTGTGCACGTTATGTATGTAGCAGTGACAGGAATGGTCGCCTGTTCGCTAGCGGACGTTCCACGATCACAGATAGTTCACACGCCATCTAAAGAGCGAGAAAGAAACAATAGAAGTTACTGTGCTATCAACTTTAGCTTTACACCGCAAAATTTTAAAAAGGGGAGTTTTTATTTGAAACTAGTTATATCATTGTGCTGAAGAAAGTGTCCTACGTTTTCCAAGGCTGTTTGCTCCTGCTATGACGGTCAGGGTATTACGAATACTCGTGGTAGAAAACCGTAGATTTTTTGCTAAATTTAAGTGATTACTGTAGTAATAATAATAATATTTATGTTGAATCATAAGATTCAGTATACGTATACACAGCATCACTTGGCGAACTGATGGAAATTTGTAGCAAAAAAAAAAAAAAAACTACTCTTATTTCCAATGGGCCCATTGCCGGTCTTATTCATAGGCGAATGTGCAGGTCTACTAGTCTCAATTCAACGTATAGGTATTGGTTCTTCCTTCTTCCGACGATGGCCCCGCTTTGCTCGTAACTCCATCTCACGGTTTATACTAAAAAAGTACTCAAACACCATAGACGCCGTCAACATGTTCCTTATACAGAAATAGCCATATAGCAATAAGGTGTGGCGGTAAATAGATAAAAAAAAAAAAAAAGCTCTCCTCGATATATCTATACAAGCTCTGCACTTACTTTTACTCTCTCTCTGTTTTGTTCTATACGTTATATACGAATAGATAACAATCTATTGCAACGTATGAAAATGCTCATGATGGCACTGCATCGGCCAAATAAGCTACACCGATGCGCGTTCAATTACGCTGCAGTCTCCAGTAGCAGCAGCTGGAATCTAAGACCAGACTGGTGTGATGATCGGTCGATTGGAACGTACTAATTCCCTCGGATACAGCAGCTGTTCTGGTGTCAGATCCTATAACGAAGATCAGAGACAAACATACAGATCAAAGTTTCATCTCACGTTTTCGTTGCCATTTCTGCATGCATGCCAAAAAGTAGCACTAACAAAAGAGGGCGCAATGCCAAGGCTTTTCCCCTGGCTATCTCTGGCTAGGACGACTCATAATCTAGCTTCAGTAGCTAGCAGCAACGGCAACCTTACCGTTGAAGTCATGTTACCGCTACGCCTCCGGCTGTTACCACTGTTGTTTATAGTCGTAACGAAACCGATCAACAAAGCGAAATGGCCCACGTCGAAGAATAGCTACTATGCAGCTGCCGGCAAGTGAAGCGGAAAGGCACATGCTGTTGACAAGATAGGCACTGGCAAAGCCGCTCTGCCTTCGTGCCGAAGTCTCTCGGATCGAAGTATATGTTCGTTCAAAGCGAATCGCTGAATGGTCTAATAGTTGAATATGCTGGGGTGTAAGTATGTTAAGTATGCTGACGTCGGAATGAAGTGGAACGCCATTGACGTATCGACACTGCTGAAACGGCGTACCGGCGCCGTGTCATGTCGGCCTATAGAATAAAAACAGCGCCAGTAATAGCGGCCTAGGAAGACTTCTAATGCTAGCCGCAGTCCGAACGGTTCTAGTCAGCCTGCTCCAACAGCATAAGGTGCAACTTCGTCCGCGTCAATCGAGTACACCGACTCTGTGCGAGAGTCGGAAAGGGGCAGCGACACTCTACATAGACGGAAGTGGACAGATGTAAATGAGGGTAAGTGCATCTACAAGTCGAATCCGCTGAGTGAGACATTCTCGTATTGATAGTCCATTGGGTTTATTGTCTGACACGGGAAGCCGGTAGCGTCCCCTTTCGTTGCTTTATTCAGCACATTCTATAACGTAATAGTAAAAGTTACTGCGGCGCATATTGAACGTGCATCAAACGCTTTATATCATGCGCGCGCGCGAGCAAGAATACGAGCAAACATACGATAAGGTGTCGGATATATAGGCAATTTTCATCATATGAGAAAACTTTATCTCCACAAATTTAGTGGATGGTTACGGAGGGTCGACCAAAAAGGCAGGAAGGGGTCAATGAACGAAACAAACGAGGAGACAATAGCGGCGGGCAAGGAGGGGGCAAAAGGAGAGGCAAGCGGAAAGCAAAAAAAAAAAGGCAAGAGAGTTGAGAAGAGAGGTAAATGGTGACCCAAGGAAGAACTCGAAGAAGGAGGTAAAAAGGGGAGACGAAGAAGATGGCAAAAGGAAAGACCCGAAGCGAGGGAGCGAACAGCAGAATATAAGGAACAGAGAAGAAGGCGAGCGAGCTCGAACAACGGGAGACGGGTCGCAACGAACACGGACGAATTATGTAAATCCGAAAAAGAGCACACAGAATAGAGATATTTATAGATAGAAATCGTGAGCGAGAAAGAAAAAAAGCTGGAAACAACTACTCTTCGAGTGGTTGACGAGCGAAGGAATTGCCATTTTTACCTGATAGAACAGGCTTGAGTGAATCTATTGAGATTGTTAACGTGTGGCGTCATCGTCGACGGTAGCAACAGCAGCTGTGGCCGGAGAGAATAGGAATTGGCTTCGGCTGCAACTTGATGCAAATCACCAACGAAATAAAGGAATACGACGAACAGATCAATGATGATGCTTACTATCGTCGTTTTTATAGTGGCTGGAAAGAATAACCATATTTTTGGTACAAGTGGCGTTTCTTTTATTGTGATTCTTGGCAGGCTCTGTTGCTATATCGCCTAACCAATATCAGTTGGTTTTGACTAATTCTAGCGGTTGGGGTTACCTTGGAGAAAATCGGTGGCTTTATTATCGCGCTTTATTTTGACCAGGTAAAAAAAAAAAAACTACGCTGATGGGTGTATTCGTATGTATATCGTCACTATGGGATGTTTAACCTGTACAGTATGCGTTACGTATAAACGTGTGGGCTTTTTCGTATATATTACATGTCACGGACCCTGCTCGCTGGTCATCTGGCCAATTCTTAAACAGTAGAACGTGGTAAATTTGGGCTCGTTGTTCAGCTCCCTACCTAACAGATATTCTGTGGGTATGACAATTTCATGAATGATTAGGAAAAATTTTATTTCTGTCATATATATATATATATATACATACAGAGGGAGAGAGAATCGCCAGTGGATTGTGTACTACACTTTTAGTAGTTTTTCTATGTATTTCAAACATGTTGATATAGGTCACTGTGTTTGGGTCTTTCGAACTATTCACAACCTCTACAAGTTCCAACAACTCGATATCTAGATGGTTAAACTTTATCTAAATTACTAGTGTTTGCCTCAACTATACATAATCGAAAAGTACTACTGTTAATATCGAATGGAAAAAAAAACTCAAGAATATCTTTCCATTGGTTCCTTTTGTGCTATTTCGGCGGTTCTCGTTGGGGCATGTCTAATCAATCAAGTTCCTTTCTGTTATTGTTTACCGACCGAATCGTAAATGGGTACAGAATCGATGCAGATTTGTCCTGCCATAACTCTAAATAAATCGATTTTTGGAACAGGTTTGCAACGCGAGTGTAGCGGTTGTTGTCGGCGCCCGGGGGTCGCCGTTGGGGGCTAGGCCGTTCACTGTAGGCCATCACCGCTAACCCAATAGCTGAACACTATACCACTAATAATACGATGCGTTTAGAACTGTTCCTTTAAAGGAGATAAGAGTTTTGCGTTTCAGGTACTTCGTTCGGCTGTTGCTATGATTGTTCTTGCCAAATTATCAAATCTCTGATAGAATGTAATATGGGCCTCTACGGTCTCGGTAACTGCTACGGCGGCTCGTTCACTGCCGTCATTCCTCTCGTTTCGATCAGAACCAAAGCGTTCTACATCTGACAACCACTGCGCTGCTACCGCCGCCGCCGCCGCCGCCGCCGCCGCTGCCGCTGCCACAGCCGTTGGCGTCAATCCAGATAGAACAACGAAACGACACGAAATTACAGCTGAAACTACGACCTTGATGTGACGAAAATAACGTGCATTTATCATTATTCTAATATTACTACCTCGGCTGCAGTCTCCCCAGCGATTTCTAATAGGTTTCGATCTTTCCTCGATTACTGATGTTCAGATGCATAGTACATAGTGATGGCAGAACTAAATGTACTAGCGAAAAGTATTAAGAACTCTTTGAGGGACCACGGCAGAAAATAATAGTTAGCCAATTAGTCGGAATCGAACTGACTATTTATGTAAGCGGAAGTTCCCTTTGTTGTTATAGTACCGGATGGGCTAACACAATTTATACGGAAAAACGCGCACGAAAGAACGTGATAAAAATGGTTGTGTTAATGAATAGGGTTTGTTGAACGTGATGTTATCTCTAGGGTATCTAGGGGGGGGGGGGGGGGTAATTTGGCTTCACGTACGGGGTTGGTGACAAATACTGCGCAAACGCTTTCCTTCCATTTTGCTTATTATCTCGCCCATGTTTCGTTGGCATTTCCTATTCAGGGATCTATCAAATATGAGTTGTCCTGATAATAATAATGTGCGATTCTGCTCACATGAAATAGAGCAGGTTCCTACACAGCGTTCTCAAAAATAAAAAAAAATTTGGTCTTTAACTAAGTTTCTTTGCTTTCAATCGACAGTAGGAAGGGTTCGTGAATCAACACTGCTATGTTTCTGACCGACAAGCGTCGTCTGGAAAAAAAATGTATGTGGACCCCGGAGCTTCAACGATGCGTCTTTCTTCGACGCCAGGCGTTCGTCAGCGACCAGTGGAGTTTCAACGGAACTTTTCTTTTATTATGCTTTACTTTTAACTCCTAGCTTTTGTTGAGTAAGTAAAGCCATCCCACATTGTCAAGCTTGACAATTCCAGTCCTCGTAGACGTCGACGTAGTCGTAACGAAGTCGACCATCCTTACTGCTCGATCGAACTGCTGTGCCTTGAAAAACACAACAGGAGTGAAGGAGGCCGCCAGCCGTTGTATTTTTCATTCGAAACGACCGCGGTCAAGTGTAACTCAACGGCGGCGCCATAGATTGACATCGTTCTTGTTGGCAGTGAGAGCGGCCGTGAGAGCAATCTCGTCAAAATTAGGCCATCGAAGAGTCGACGATATGAAATATGGTTACTTAACTAGCTTCTTTGAGCGCTGCTTACAGACATTGTTTCTCATAGTCAGCAAGATAACAAAGACGTGTAGTGATTAAAGGCTGGCTTTCTCGTTTTTGCTGGAATAGTATTCACACAAGCTCTAGGTAGCCAGCCTATAGGCTGCAGTTCGCCGAACACTCCTAATAAAAATGTTTCCTGCCCTTAAATTGTCACAGTTCAAGAACGTATTGATTGATGCGCACGACGATTTCTATTTTCACTGTTATTTAGGCTGTTCAACCAGAGTAATCCAGCCTTGAAGTTTTGTTGACTAAAGGCTTGAAATACGCTCTCAAGTTATTGTCAAGCGCCTTTTAGACGTATATATGCAACTCTGCCGAAGACGGAGAAAAAGCAATGAGGTTAACTTTTTTATTATAGTTTGTACAAGATATCGATGTATAATATCTTGATACGTACCCGTAAACTGGAGTTAGGTAACAGCTTAGGAATGAAAAAAAAAAACGACAGATAAAAAAATTTACTGCAGAAACTTCAGCGTCCAAACAACCTCATCACGAAACAGTATCGTAATATCATGCCAGAAGCCACCATTATCTTAGTTCGACGAGAACTTTTCTTCTGGTCACGTTAGCTTTAGACCGAGAATCACCTGAGCTAAGTACAATTAAATCACACTGGCCGTCATCATGAACTATGGCACGATACATTGAAGGAGCGTTCCAACTGAACGTGTAAATGTTACACGACTGAGCAATAGCACAGTTTTAAGATAGCCGGCCTCGACGACACCGATAGAATCCATACCTAATTAACCACTTTTTTTGCCTTTCTCTATACCTAAACAGTGTAAATACCACTATATGCCCGGATGAGTTTCTCGGTATACAAGACCATCGTTTGTTCTACCATTGAATTTAATTATCTTTATTCATGCTAGGAAATCTGCTATCGTTTGTACCTTTACATACAGTGTCATATAGATTGTGATTGTGAGCAAATCGATACCTATGCCCCTTAACGCGCTCCTTTGCAAACATGTGCTATTGTACTGCTTTATTCGGCACTCCCCTGTGACGAGTGCTCGCGATCATTTTTAATCAGTAGAAGGACCAATCGAGCATGGAGGGACAAGATACCGGTACAAGAGATAAGTGCGTCTATGAAGAATCGAAAGTTTCGCTGCCGGAACCTAATGTTATTCTGTTGTACTTTGCATAGCGCGTTGACACGAAGATACGGTCATTCTCATTTGCTAGAAGCATTAAAAAAAAGAAACGTCTTCACCTTTACGTCCGATTCTGCCTTAAGTAAACCTTGCTTGAGACTATCAAGCAGCGGTCTCGTCTTTGTGCTATCCTATACTGCAATTGAATGCTAAGGGAATGGGGGGGGGGGGGGGGTAGTAGGTACTGCCAGCTGAGAAGCAAGCTCTGGGAGTGACATGCCTAGTTCAACTGTGTCTAAGTTCAGCTCTACTGGACAAGACGATACTGACAGAAGCCACACAGCACAAATGCTCATAGATCATCGTATAGTTATCTTAATGGCTGGACAGGGCTTATTATTAAGACAATTAATTCGGTGAGCGACGTTAAGAAAAGGCCACTACTGGGAGCTATAAAAAGAAGGATTTTTCTCTTTGTTTAACAATTAAGTCTTTTAGTGTTCTGTATGATGACATAAAAATATAATTGCTAATGTAATCAGCAACGTGAGGTAACACAGATCCCACCCAGTATACCACACGTTATGACGTTAAAGGATGAAGGTAGAAAATAACGAACGTCACGCTGTAAGCGTTATGAACAGGATAATAAATATAATAATAAAAATAATAATAATAATAAAAAAATCGATAAGTAATTTGAATTTTACGACTGGTCAAATGAACCGAACGTCTAGTTTCAGACGTGAACCCCACTTCATCAGCTGTCTCCACAAGTTTAGTAGGCAAACACATTGTTCCCGTACGAGCTATGATAGAAACGAATTTGTGTACCCTATATGCCTGTTTTCAAAATGCAGTGTGCTGTAAACTTCGTTCATCGTAGAAACACGTTCATCTTGTACATTGTTGTTTGACGTCATACGGCGCAATAGTAACGCAATTGCGGGCGTGAAACTCGACACATTTACTAAGCAGGTCTAAGTCGAATCAATAACAGCTTAATGTAGATGTTGGCCTGCGACGCGAAATCACCTTTTTCATTTTCTGTCCTATTTGCATCTGTTCCATCCAGATGATGCCGTATATACTTGAAACAAGTTTTGAATCGTAGATCCTTATCAGACATACCCTGGACACGGCTATTAAAACACGTGGCTGTATAGTACACAATCCACAAATTCATAACGGATGATAACTCACATTATGCATACATTGGATCGAGTTTACGACAGGGTGTATATATATAATATTCGGCATTACCGAAACGCGCCTGGCCCACGCCGTCGACCGCTCCACCGCAAGAAACGTACGCAGAACCCATCACAACAAGCACGCCTGATATCTACTCCCCCACCCCCTACCCCCGGGGTGATGGCGTACGATTTGGCTAAAACGCTCCAGCGTTTCACTGTCATCTGTCGGCGCCGGATCGGCTGCCTTTCGACTACATTCGGAGACTAACCGAACTGCCCGGACGGCCCGAGCAAACGCAAGCGACAGCGTTGCTTAGTATCTACTCTTCTAATAGCGCCTACCTAGCAGCGCTCGTTTTCGTTAGCGGAACGCCGCAAATCCAAAAGTACGCCAAGGTCCGTTTCTCTTCAGGACAGGACGAACCAGCAGCCGCTTAAAGGAACGGAACCAACTCAAAACGCCTGAACCCGTCGAAACGGTCAAAAACTGGCTGCAACGGGTCCTACAGAGAAAATTCGGGATAAAGAAAGAGACCGGCGAGGCAGGCTCACGGTTCAAGACCTTGTGACAGTGAAACTCGAATTTGGACTTGTTGGTGCTGGTGTTGCTGCTCTGTTGGCTTGTAGTCTAGAGCCTGCTGCCTGTAGCCTGTTGCGAGGTCCTGCTGAGACAAAACAAGCGTTGCTACTTCTGCGACCTTTTCTTTTTCGTCTTTTCGTTCATTCGCTAGCTAGTTTGCTCTGTCTTTTAAGTGTCGTTATCATTCGCGTGGTTGTCTTGTCTTTGTGCCTGGGTCAATCTGCCGCCACTGACGACTCAACCTAAACCTTCTACCTACCCACTACCTATAATCTATGCAGCAACAGCAGCATCTTGGCCTTGATCCTGGTGTTGTTGCTACTACTCCAACCCATCCAGGCGTAGCCAATCGCTCTGCGTTTATTTCTTCGCCATCGAGCAAAAGACAAAGTTCGACTATTGCGATTCTCGGGATGAACGTCATCCGTTTGAAACGTTGCGCACGTCAACAACACAACCGCCATTGTCAACAACGTGAACTACAGCTGCTGCAACGGGCTGCAGATAGGCTCGACTGAGTCGTATGACATCGGCTTGTACTGATATCGCTAACATCGTTTTCGCTAAGTAGTAGGTCATTACCACCATCTCGGCAGTTGCCGCTACACTCATCAATTCAAAATCACCAGTATTGCTAAACTAACCTCGATGTGTAAAAGGCCTATTCAAGTTAACCT